AAAAAAAAAAAAAAAAAATGAAAAGAAAAAAAAAAACCACTCCCAACCATCTAGCATGTAGATGAATAAAATAAAGGAGAAGACAGCATCAACAACTGATTCCTTCCTAATTTTTGTTATGTCACTTCAGGAGAAGTCTCAAATCAAGATGGTTTTCAAGGGGCACTCAAACTATTTACACTGTGTTGTTGCTCGCAATTCTTTCAATCAGGTCCACTTTTCTTCCTTTATCTCAGTACTCTTAGGTTGCATGTCTCCTAACTAAATGTTAGTTGGCTTGTAATTTGGTTTTCCCTCAATTGTACCTGTTCCTTTCCTTACATACACATTGGTTTTATAAATTGCATTGATTGATGAAGACTTTAGTTCTTGTGATTTTTCTTCAAAATCATGGGCAGTCTCCTCCCCATCCTCGTGGATAATGATATCACACATTGATATAAGTTGATTAGCTATGAAATTTTAGAAATACTTGCAGACATGAACTAAGTCTGCAAGTACTATGAAATCTAACCCTTTCTCCAGTTTTCAGTCATCTTCATGATTTATATATTTGTGGTTCATTCATCTTTTCAACTCTTGTTCGGTTGCTTTCAGATCATAACTGGTTCAGAAGATGGCACGGCTCGAATATGGGGTAATCTATTTTATGGAAAGAGCATGAGACCAACAATATTTTTACTGATTGAACATCTTGCTTGTTGCTTGTGGTTTCTTCTTCTAGTTTGCTGAGTTTCTTGTTGACCACCTCACCCTCATCTTTCCTATCCTTTCATTGCGCTTGATTGTATTGTATGATCTACAGATTGCAGAAGTGGGAAGTGTATCCAAGTAATTGATCCAGGAAAGGATAGGACGTCAAAAGAATCTGTTCCATGTGTCAGTTGCATTGCTCTTGATGCAAGTGAGAGTTGGTTGGTAAGTGGACCATGTGAAGAAGATGTTATTCTGTATCTGATTATTTATATTGTAACTAGTTTTTTTTTCTATTGCATGGTTATATATATATATCTGTTGTTTAAGTTATTTTTCTTGTATGCATCAGTGAATCTACTATCCGTATAGCTTCTTTTCAATCATTTTTTGATACTTTGCTGAAAAGAAAATTTGGTTTCAACCTGAACATTTGTCTTCATAGAGGAAAGGGAAAAAATTAAAAAATAAAAGAAAAAAAACAGTTGTCTTCATAGACGTGGTCAAATGTCCAACTGACATCCACGTCCTCTTTTATTGATGCATCAATTCGATGGAGTCTTTGTAGTTAAGAATGGGCTGATTTTGATTTAACCTTGTGAGTTTTGACGTAAACGTCAATGGCCCCTCTGGAAGAAAATAAATGGAAAAAAGAACAATACAAAGAATAAAGAAAACAAATATAAAAGAAAGAAAGTAAAAATTGAAACACCCTAACCCCAAACGAATACCGGGGGAAATTCCCCTGGCATTTTCATCAAAGATTTATGTATATAAATCAATTTGGAAAGGCAATATATATGTATACATTGTATATCATTCTATTTAAATATATAAATTGAAAAAGGCAATAAATAGGTTGTTCTTTACTATGAAAATTTTACATTTGACTTTTATGAGATTTCCATTTCTTGGTTGAAAACCAGAGGACAAAACTTCATTTCTCCTTTTCATGATCTTGACTGTTGATCTGCGAACAGAGTTGGAGCTAGGGGGTACATATTTTTTATTTTATTTTTTATATTGGGCTGATTCATTGGGAAAAAAAAATTTCCACTAAAAAAAGAAGATTTTCCTATAAATATTGTTTTTTGCCTTGCAAATTTAATTGGGGACCAGACCTGCCCCCCTCGCTATGCCCATCAAGGGAAACTCCAGGGGGTTTTCCCCTTAGTTTCGACACCAACCGCTGGTGAAACCAAGGGAAAACCCCCTGGTCATAGATTAAAATTCCAGGGGATTTACCTTTGATTTTTGCCATTTCCGTGGACGGCAAAACCAGGGGAAAATACACTTGGTTACATGGGGAGGGGTGGTATTGGTATTGCGTTGAGTGGTGGTGGGGTTGGGGCGTGTTTCAAAATTTTTTCCCTTTTCTTTTCTTTTCTTTTCTTTTTTTGTTTATTGTTTTTGGGTTTTATTTGTTCATTGTTTTCTTCTTCTTCTTCTTTTTTTTTTTTATTATTAATTTGTTTTATGTCAAACTATAGGTACAATGGTGATTTACTCAATATTGGACCTTTTAATGGTTAAACTAATGATTTCTGTCATGAAATCCAGGATTTTAGGCGCAGAAGTTTGAAAGGTTTGGGACTCTGGGTGCTAAAAATCAGAGTCTCGGGACTCCATTGTCACAAACTTCATAGATTCCCGGATCCCTGGTGCAACTTACCCAACTAAAATAATCAGTATGAAAGCAACGTTAGAACATGTTAATTCAATGTTAAACAGGAGAATGAAAAATAGATAAATAAACAAAAGAAAAACCAAACAAATATATAGTAAAAAGGACTAATGAGAAAAATAAATAAAAAGAAAGAGTAACCAAGAAACTCAAAGAATAGGGGAAATTTTTTTTGATAGGTAAAGAATAGGGGAAAATAAAAAGTTAAATAAACCGCTCTACCATATCTCCTCCAAGTGAACAGGACACCTCCACCAAAAGCAAACCCCAGCATCTTGCGGCCCCCTTCCACAGCCTCCAATCATTGTGACTCCCCACCCCCATCAATCTCCATGCAATGAACTATGCATGAATGCAAACAAGCATACTGTCTTCTGCTTCACTTATTAGTTAGTACTTTTGTGATTAAATTGTGTAAAAGCGGTTCATAAGTACATACATGCGCTGGAGCACATGCAGTAACATTAGCATACATGCTTCATTGCTTTGATGATCTGATTTTATATTAGGCTTGTGGAAAGGGCCGGTCTTTATCACTATGGAATCTTCCAGTTTATGAATGTATTTCAAGGATCAGAACAAATTCATCAATCCAAGATGTTATATTTGATGATAATCAAGTAAGTTCTTTCATTTCCTTGCACTTTTTGCATCAGTTGCTCATGTGTTACAGTTAATAAATCTGTTGTTTAAAGATAATGTGTATGTATTGAATTAATTCTCTCCTTTGATTGGTAGTTTTGAACCAATGAACTTTGTAGAAGTACAAAAATGATTCATGAACTATGAACTTATTGTAGTATTAATTTTTGATAACCGTGAACTTATTGTAGTATTAATTATAGAGAAAGTTCATTAGCTTTTGCTTTTTGACTGCTTTCAGTTATTGAAATATTCTTTGTAAATGAGCCAGATGTATAATTTTTGGCACACTTACGCTTTGGTTTTGACTTCCTATCTATCGCCTCTGCTATGGGATAGGAACTTGGATTTTTGGGAGTCAATTCCTAAATTTTCATGCATTCCATCTGCATTTCATTTCCTGATTTTTGAGCTCTTTTACTCTTGTGCGCTGATCTCTACTTTAGCCCCTATATAACATTGATTTTGCACTGTTCTCTCTTATTTTTTATGTAATTCGTTTGATTCTTGATTTTTTGCACTTGCCTGGTTCATCTTAAAAGGTTTTTGTTATGTCCTCAGATTTTGGCTGTTGGGTCAGCACCATTGCTTACTCGATTTAATATGAAAGGAGATATTCTATCACAGATAAATTGTGCTCCTCAATCTGTGTTTTCCATTTCTTTGCATCCTTCTGGGGTAAGTTTACTTCAGTACTATATTTCCTCCTTTCCCAAGCTTTTAATTTTATTACTCTTCCTAGTCACCTGATTAAAATATCAACGTTTTATGCTGCATGGCCCCTGGAGCCAATTGAAACCATTATCTTGTGAGAAATATAAAAAGTTGTCTGACTGTCATTTCCTGTGCATGAATAACTACCTGTTATTGGTTTTGACTATTAAAAGATTGAATTACGAGTATTGCGAGAATTGGAGATAGATGAGTTCTGGAAGTAACCTAAATTCTGAAGGACATATCTTGATACCGTATAGAAACTAGATACTTAATACTGACACCCCACCCACCCTACCCTTCCCCCTGCCCCGCTGGAATTTACAAAGAAAATGAAAATGGCAATAGGCAAAACAAGAACACAAAAGTAAATAATGTTTGCTGAATTTATAAACGCGGTGTGTCGGACTCTGGTAAAACATATGATGTAGATCCATTTTGTTTAGTTGTTTCAGGTTGTACACGTGTAAATTGCTTCTCGTTTACCGTCTTCATATGATCCAAATTAGAATTACTTGCGCAATTTCAAGCTGTACTTGTTGACATAGGAGAATTAAGTGAATTTGAATGTTTTTCCTTCCAGGTTACAGCCGTGTCTGGTTATGGAGGACTTGTAGATATCATATCTCAGTTTGGAAGCCACTTGTGTACATTCCGTGGCAAAAGTCTACAAGCGGAGTCTCCTTGAATTGGGATGTATATGCATAGACAAGCAAGTGAAGACCTGAAAAAGTGAGAGTTTCCAGTCAACAGTTGTTTGTCCTTTTATTTGATCTTGTCTGACAGACTGACAGTGCTTGATGACACGTTTGTACTGCTTTATGAAACACGAAACAATTGGGGCGATTAGATTTACGTAATTGCTTGAATGCTACTTTACAGGATAATTCTGTGAACTATGTGAGATGAAGCAATACTATTTTCGAATGTATGCAATTGGGGTTTTAAAGTTTTAGCAAAATAAGTTTTTTTATCAATGTTTTTGGAATAGTCACTACTCACTGGACTCTCAACATTGTTTCTCATTGTCACTTTGTCTTAGGGATGGCGATGGGCACTCTGCTCGTCGGGGATTTTACCTCCCCATGCCCTGCCCTATTCCCCGCTTAAGGGCGGAGAGGGGCCTCGTCCCATTTACTGTCCTGTTTATATATTTTTTATTTTCTTCCAGTAATTATAAGGATAATTTGGGAATTGGGCATAAAATAATTTGTTCATTGAAGAGGACATCTCATGACCCCTTTGTTGCAAGTTTACCCGAGCATGGTTCGAGGTTGCACTTTATATCAACGACTATTTCTGAGCTCACACATTCCACAACAAAATATCGTAAATTACTAGAACTATACACAACTTCAAGTAATCTATTGCAATGCATTAAATTAACGTCAATGGTTTATAGTTCAATTTAGTTTTACTCATTAAATTCAAGTAAACGGGTATTTAACAAAAGAAAAATATTCATTTTGGGATAAGTGTCAATATTCATATTCGTTTTTAAAAGAAAAACTTGTTGGATATCTTAATTACTCTGATACGTGTATCAATCAAAATAAACTAATTATTATTTTCAATAAATCTAGGGTCGACTACATATATTGTTTTTGTCATTATATGTTTGTGAGTTGTTTATAAATAATTTAAATTATAAAAAGATAGAATTGAGAATAATTGAATAATACTTATGTTTCTAACGAAATATATCAGTAAAAGGAAATTGACTATTTATAAACAATAATCAGACTCCCTTGGGAAGAAATATAAATATTTTGATTTATAAATAAATAATAAACTATATATATATATATATATTTGAATAGTATTTATGAATTTCTTAAAATATATTATAAAAATAAAGTTTGATTATTTATAAATAATTTATAAGTTTTGAATTAAAGAGTATCACACTTCTCTTCTTGCGTGATGTCATGTAATTTTCCCATAAAGTCGCGTGTATTTGCTACACAAACTCAGATTCTTAAAAAAACCCAGGTGGTTTCAGCCCCCTCACTATCCCCACACGCTCTGCTCGCGAAGGAAAATTTCCAGATAGTTTTGTGGGAAATTGAAGGAATTAATTGTTCTTCCTCCCCAAAATTCATTCTATTTCTCCTCTCCCAGCTAAAAAATTCGTCCTAAACGCCTTCTGTAACTAGTTACCCACTCTCTCTTTCCCTGTGTAAGCGCCACAAGGTACGTAATTTCGTGTACACACTGTTTGGTTATTCTGCCTCCATGTTTGGTTCATACACCTGCAATTTTTAGTTTCTAATTATTTGATTCGTCACATGAGTTTCTGGAAGTTGAATTATGGGTCGGTTGGTTTGTTTAATTTTCAGGGTTTTGTGTGCTTGAGGTTTTTACTGTTTGTATTTGTTGATATATCACTCTAATTTGGTATTTTTGCTATTTTCTGAGCATGTTTGATAATAGGATTTTGAAGACATTGATTCCCTCGTTTGTTCATTTTTAGGGTTTTATAAGTTTGTCGTTTTTAATGTAAATGTTCGATGATATATCACGCCGATTTGGTAAATGTACTATTTTCCAAGCATGTTTGGATTCTAGGATTTTGAAGGTATTTATTCGCGGTTGCTTTTCGTGTTTTGAAAAATTATTTTGACTGTTTTTGACTCTTTTAAGATTTATGTGGGGGAAAGCAGAACCTTGAAAATTTTTATGATTCAAAGTTGTTGTAGGCGAAGGAACATAAATAATTGGCGGTAAGTTAGTGCTGTAATGTGCTTTAATATGATAAGTTTGGAGATGTATTTTTTATATTCATGACACGCTGCAAGAAAAATTTGTTGTTTAATATACGTTTAATTTGATGGAGTCTAAATGTGGTTGCTTTCTTGTTTTGATTCATTTATGCCGCATGTTGACGTAGTTATACATTTTTCTTTGATCCTTGTACTTTGAGACTGAAATATAACTTTATACGCATACTTTATATTTAGAAATTTGGGTGTCCGGAAAACATCCATGCATGTTTGACTGTGTAAATCTTAATAAAATTTGGTTAGTACTTCTAAGAAAACGGAATAATCTGTGTGATATAAGTTTTGGCATGTACATGGGACAAAATGCTGCTGTTATTTACCAAGACTGTTGGGAGAAAAAGTGGATTGATGATAATGTACTCTAACAATCGATGATGAGATTATGTGCTGTATGAAGCAATGAAAAAGAATCGATGATTAGGCCATGTTCTTTTTTTTAACGAATTGAACAGTCCCATCTATTCTATATTTTGGACTGCAAAGTACATGGTCAAACAAGTTAAAAGAATATGGTTGACTGGTAAAAAATTCGAGTGCAGGCTTAAAAAATTTTTACATGCACATCCCATGGTTCTGCATTGTAATCATAGGATATAGAGTTGTGTATTAATGAAGAGCATAATGAAGTTAGGGCAGAAAACAAAATTTGGTGTCATGAAGGTAAGCCAGCATGTAGCAGACGTTGTGAAACCCATTTAGGGATCTGATTTCTCTTTTCCTTGGACACACACTCGACATCGTATAGGGGAAATGATCTCAATTTGGAAGCAGAGGCTTTGTTCTGGCTCCTTCTACGATCAATCTCTCTCTTCTTTTTTTTACTAGTTTTCTTTTGGTTACTGTTTAACTGCACATACCAGGTCAAAGTTCAGTGGACTACTATTTGTCGAACGGACTATTATGAAATTAATGCAATGCATTTTGAAGAAATGAAATCATCTGAAGCAATGGCAACATTGATTTAGTCCAAATTGAGATATGTTTTGAAGATGGGCATGAAGTTTATATTTGGACAAAGTGATGATTCGCGTTATTATATGACATTTTCCAACAGCTCGAATGCTCCCTTCAAATTCCCCCTTAATGCATCAATGAAGTAGTATTAAATTGCAAGCGAGAAGTTCAGGTAAAACTTTTGTTGAAGCCTGTTGTTGAGAAATGATTTTTAAATCCATCATAATTATACACTTTGTGAGTATAAACCTGGATCTGTAAAAGTTCAAGACTCTGACACAGAATGAGTGAATTGTTCGACTTTCTGGTGTCATATGGACTGTTTTATGTTGATGGCCATTTTTGTTCTATATTGCAGGACTGTTGTTTGAAGATTCAGATGTTAGGTCCCAGATCATATCATTGATTTAGACAGCCCAGAAGCCTCCATTTTGTAAGCCAAGTGCAGTATGCCTTTTGGCATAAGATCTCGATACAACAGCTTTAGAGGCTTCAAGGTGGTAACAAACTAATTTATTCCACAGGAATTTCTTTTGCTAATAATTTTGCTCAAAGAGTTTTGCTCTTGCCTTCTCTTTTTGCTTAAACACTGTTTCATGCTGACTTTTTCTTTTTGAAAAATGACAAAGTGTGACAGTTTAAACTCGAAAGTAACTCCTACAGAAAATATGTCTCAATGTGTTTGCAGAGTCTAATTATCTGGATACTTGGTGGGCTCTGGAGGAAAGAACAGAGTTATTTGGTTTGAGTATAAGGAAAAATTTCAATTCTGTTTATTCAATTTTTGAGCTTCAGGGCTTTGAGCAGTTGGCTATATCGACAATGGAGTGCAACAAGGATGAAGCCTTCCGAGCAAAGCAAATTGCTGAGAAGAAGATGGAAAATAATGACTTTGAAGGGGCTCAAAAGATTGCTCTAAAAGCTCAAAATCTTTTCCCTGAACTTGAGAATATAGCTCAGCTACTGACTGTCTGTAACGTTCACTGTTCTGCACAAAACAGGATATTGGGATCTGAAAAAGACTGGTATGGAATCCTTCAAGTTGAAAGGTTGGCTGATGAAGTTACCATCAAGAAACAGTACAGAAGACTTGCACTTCTTCTCCATCCTGATAAGAACAAATTTCATGGTGCAGAAGCTGCTTTTAAGCTGATTGGGGAAGCAAATATGGTACTATCGGACTCTGCAAAGAGGTCTGTATATGACAGTAAGATTAGAGTTTCAGTTAGAACAGCTCCATCAAATTCATCGCTTCGTCAAAACAATAATCCAAATGGTTTCGCTGCTCATGGTCAGAATAAATATCAGACAAAGCCGCCACATGCAATAGCTAGACAGGCAGTTTTCTGGACTTGTTGCCCATTTTGTAGCGGAAGATTTCAGTATCCGAGAGAATATGTGAACAAAGCTTTACGCTGTCACAATAATAGCTGCTCAAAAGCCTTCATTGCTTATGACATAGGCGCTCAAGGAATTCATTTGGGATCCAAATGGGCTCAACCAGGTGTTCAAAATGCGCCGTCAAAATCCAGCCAGAGTCAACCTTCTCTTTCTGAACAAAAAGAGGTCCCAGATTTGGGTGCCTTCAAAATGGGTGCACAAAATACCACTAGATCCTCAGATTCTCATGCAGGATCTCTTGGAGGTGCCACCAGTAGAAAAATTGGGTCAGAATCAGGTCCTCGGGCAGAAATTGGAGCTGAGATTGGAGAGGATTTGAAGGCAAAAGAAAAAGATAGCAGAAATGCCCAATCTTCGAATGTTAGAAAGGCAGGGGGTGCGATGCCCAATGGAGATTCAATGCCTAGAAAATCTAGAAATTTGAAAAACAAAAACAGGAAGAGAGGCAGGAAGGTGATAATAGAATCTAGTGAGAGTTCTGACTTGAGTAATTCTGACCCGGAAGATGTGGTTATTGAGGAAAATTTTGACAACCAGGGAACCAGGATGGATCCTGCACTTAATGGCTTCCGTCGTCTAAGGAGACTGGCTCAGCCAAGGCAGAATGTCTCATGCAATATAAGTGGCGACGATGACTTTGCTAGCCCTCCCAAGAGATGGCGTGGGAACATATTATCAGGTTATGGTAAAAAGGAGGATAATGAAACTGTGGATGGTGAAGTTTCAAAAGTAAAAAAAATGGGAACTGTTCCTCCTGAAGGAAGCTTCTCGGACAAGAATGCGGAGAGTAAAGAAGTTAAGGCTAAAGGACAACCAGCTGGTATGCAGGGCACAGGTGGTGAACCTATTCATGTCTTAGATGATTCTGAACCGGATTCAGATTCAGATTCAGATTCTGATTCTAGTATTGAAGATAAGAAAGTTTATGAGTGTCCTGATCCAGAATTCCATGATTTTGATAAGATTAGAGAAGAAAGCTGTTTTTCCGCTGGTCAAATCTGGGCTTGTTATGATACATTAGATTGCATGCCTAGATACTATGCTCAGATAAAAAAGATAGTTACTCCTGGATTCAAATTGAGCATCCACTGGTTAGAAGCTAGTCCCGAGGGTCAACAAGCGATTAATTGGGCAGATGTGGACTTGCCTGTTGGCTGTGGTAAATTTAAGCGTGGGAAGACTGAAGAAGCTTCAGAACTTTGTACGTTCTCTCATCAAGTGCATTTTGAAAAGGGTAGGAGCAGAGGTTCTATTGTCATATATCCTAGAAAAGGAGACATTTGGGCTCTTTTCAAGGACTGGGATATAAAATGGAGTTCCAACCCTGAGAATCATAAGCATTTCAACTATGAAATTGTGGAGGTTATGTCAGATTTTGTTTATGGTGCCGGAATAAAAGTTGCTTGCTTAGATAAAGTTGAAGGATTTCTAAGCCTATTTCAGCGAACAAGCCGGAGTGAGATTGATTCGTTTTTAATACGACCCAATGAACTGCTTAGGTTCTCCCACCAAATTCCCTTTTTCAAAATGACTGGCAGTGAAAGAAAAGGAGTCCCAGAAGGGTCTTTTGAACTTGATCCTGCTGCCTTACTCCTACAAGGCTAAGGGGTACAAGCGGAAACAGGGATGTCTGAAGTCAATGGTGCATGGCCAAAGTTTGGCTTTCCACGGCTATTTTCATTTTTTGTTTTCTCGAGGACATGTTACTCTTGATCTGCTTATAGTTATTGGAGGAAATAGATTTATAGCTTCTGATTTTCCGATGGTGGTAGTTTTTCTTTGCAAGTAATTTCTGCTCAGACTCTTACCGTAATTTTATACAGCAGTACCTTTACTGCTTGTACATTGATAGCTCGTGTTTTTTTCCATCTCATTTGATACTTTCTTGTGGTATTTATTAGTTACCCTGCATTATGTCATGCTTAGCTAGAAGCTAAGCTAATGATATCTGTCATACTGCTCGTGCTGCGCTTAAAAATGTCAAAATTAACCCCTTTTTTAATTTATAAAATCCTGATAAGAGACGAACCGAACTTGTCCATGTACACTACTGCAAGAGGAAAACACCGCCTGAGATGGTCAAGAGCTAAATCAGAACAATGAAAGGGGTGTATAGCAACTACCAGAGCTTGATTATTCCGTTACTTCTCATTTTCTAATGATATCTAGCACCAATTTACGTAATCACAATTGGATCAATTAAATGATTCATGTAATATCGCATTTAAGTGAATCTATAATTTAATTCCATGCAATTGTCGCCTAAGCTGGTACTTAACATTAATAGCGCTGAATAACATTATTCTCTCTCTAAATGTTCCTAGTCAATTGATATGTAATCAGATTCCAGTTGGTCCTCTCTTCCACAACTCACGCAATTGGGCAGATTTGGACGGTAGAATTGACAATTTTTTAACTTTAATTATTCTTTAATACCCAACATAACCAATAATGTTTTTCACTTTACATTCTACGCAATAAATAAAGCAACATTGAATTTACTTTTCTATATAGATTTAAGCACAAGTTCATGAATGCCTAAAATAAAAGTGAAAGAAACAATTTGTGGAATAACCGATCCAAACTTCCTTAACAATTGCAAAGTGATGCCTCCAAATATTTGTTCATATTCTAATAGCTGCCTATATTTCTGCAAAATAACAGCCTATATGAAAAATACCGGGCCGACCTCTTGAAAGATGCTGCTTGGAAATCCAAAAACGTTCCCAACTATTTGTCGGTGCTTGTCCCCGTTGCCTATGAGTCTAGCTTTCACTGCATATTTCATCGTTTTTTCCAGCATAGTTCACTACCACGTATTACAGTTCTGCCCCCTATCAAGAAACCAAAATAAAAACCAGTAAGAAAAAATATTAGAACTTCCCGAGTCATTTTAGTTAAGTTTAATAAGCTCCTCGACTAGGGTATTGACTCACTTCTGTTTTACCCCATTTCAATTAATTTAACTTCCATACACAATTAATTGTTACAATGAAAGAAATATATTTGCTGGGAAAAAAATGCGACATAAATGTGGGGAGCACGATCTTCTTCTAGGACATTGACAAAATAAAAGAAAGAAAGAAGCACAAAATATCACGTCAATGACTCCATCTTGCAAAGACACTTCCTCTCATAACACGGCAAATTTTTACTCAAAACTCCATTCATAGAACACACCTTTTAGCATTTGTTTGCACAAAGATTAATGCACATCAGTGAGTAGAAATCATTACTTTGAATGAATAAAATAGACAATACAACAATTATGGTAGAAACATCAGTCTGAATCGATATGTTAATATTAAGTATTAAAATCACATTGCTTTCCATCTATCCAAAGTAAAACCAAAGTAATTTATTGTCCAAGCATTCACATCATAATGTCCACGGTTAAGTACCAAAACAGTAATATTCTATGGGGTCAAGATCCATAATTGATAAAATTGCTCAAGTACTAAGAAGAATTGGATCATGGGCATAGGCCAGAATGCATTCCAAAGATCAAATATTTCACAAGAGAGCATGGATAAGAAAGAATAAGAGAAAACCTTTGTTTGAAAGAAAATATTTTCTACCCACACTGATGTGAACTGGCTGAAGATGTAAAGTGCGGAAGATTTAGAGCCACGTACATGTTTGATCCAACAAGGGCTACTCTCTGAAAATCTTAAGTTCCACCAATTTCTGTCGTAATTCTCCAGCTTCTTCAGGCATACCAGCAGCGTCAATCTCATGAATTATTTCCGAAAAAACTGTGACATAAGACTTGTGTCTACTTGCTATCAACATTTCTAGGACTCGAATTGCAGAATCTAATTTTTTATTCTGGCACAATCTCTTAATAATGAATCTATAACAATTATCTCTTATCCTGTTTTTGTTAATACCCATCATCTTCAATAATTCTAGAGCCTCTTCAACTAGATCGGCTCGGCAGAAACCCCAAATCAAACATCGATAGGTAACCTCATCAGGACAAATCCCGTGCTCTACCATGTTATTGTACACTTCCATTGCTTTCTCCATAAAACCCTCCTTTGACAATCCATCAATGACAATATTGTAAGTGATTAAAGTAGGAGAGCAGTTTGTATAACATAAGCAATGAAGAACTTGGATAGCCTCGTCTAGCATTGCTTCCTTACAAAAACCACGTAGGAGGGTGTTATAAGTAATTATATCAGGACAGCAACTGCAGGAAACCATCTGATTAAAGAAGTCAATTGCACGATCCAGATGACCATGTTTACATAAACCATTGATCAAAATATTATAAGTTATGCGAGTAGGAGGGTGTGATGTTTCATTCATGAAAAACAGGATCTCGTCCACTTCATCCCAACACCCATAGGTACAAAGAGAGTGGAGAAGAGTGTTGTATGTGATAGTATTTGGCTCCATTCCACGAGACAGAAGGTTACAAATAACCAGCACCGTGTCATCATAGTTTCCCTGTTTAGAAGAAATATTGATCATTGAATTGTAGGTCACAAGATCTGGATAACATCCCTCCACTGCCAGATCTTCCATGATTTCTAACGCTCGTACAACTCCAATATGTTTGCAGACTAACTCAATGAGCACAGTGTAGGTGATTACATAAGGAGGACATCCCTTTCTCAGTTGATCCTTCCAAAACTGAATAGCCTGATCAAACCTACCATTATCAAACAAGGTTCGTAGTATTGTGTTGTAAGTAATAACATCTGGAGGGCAACCACTCAAACTCATGTTCTCCAAGATATCAATAGCCGAATGGAGATACTTCTTCCGACATAGGCCACTAATTAACATGTTATAAGTGATAATATCTGGAATCCCACCAGACAAAACCATGAGTTGGAGGACATTAACTGCTTTTCTGGTCCGGTCAATATTGATAAGGCCCCTGATCAACTTTACGCAGCAAGGGAAATCGGGAATCTGGTTTCTACGAGTCATCACATCTACTAACTTCGCTGCATCTAGTAACTTCCCACGAACGCAAAAACTTTGAAGAATTTCATTATTAGTTTTCTCGTCATTTTCGACAAATGGTCCATCTGTAGACAACCTTGCAGAATTAGTGAATCCACTTAAATTGATTTGTCCATTGAATTTCTTCTCAATATTTATCCTGCCTCTATCCAAGTCCAACTCGTTTTGATTACTCAAGCTGATTCTATCGAGACAAACCCCTTTTTGCTGCCCTCTACAACTTAACGAAGAAGCACCAGCTCCTGAAACATAAACTCCCATCCACTTTAGACGAGATTGCGTTGAATGATTAGCGCCAGAACCAAGATCTGTTTGGTGGGAAATCGCGTTTGAGCTATGCAAATTAGGAACCCCAATCATTGATTTATGGAGAATAACTTTGTAATCCATCCGTATCCCCTCAATCGAAAAACAACTTAGAACAGCATAAATAACGTATCTGGCCAACTGGTCACTTTGTTCAAGAAGTATTTAAGCAGTAAGTACAAGAACAAATCTTCCAAAACATGAAGCAGTACTCAACCATTTTACGCTAGCTACCCAAGTAAAGCACAATATATACCACAGTTCCTCAAGTTTGATTAATTCTCCCGAAGGTCTGGATTTTGTAACAGGACGCAATATTCATGTCAAACTGCATATGTGATTGAACAAACAAAAGCAAATAAGCAGAAAAAATCACTATCAACGAATTCAATTGGGAGCATGTTATTTGGTTTGTAAGGGAATAGATAGATAAAAAACCATTTCAGATAAAAGCATGCTGCAGAATCAAACGAACCGAAATGGCCAGAAAATCTGTTAGAATACAGATATCATAAACGGCTCAACCACATTCAAGAAAATTAAAGAACTTTGATGTACAGAAACTCCATTCTTTTATTGGTTCATTCTTCAATTTTCCTAGGAAGCAAACAGAGTTGTCAAAAATACTTTTAGAGAATTTCCTAAGATGGCCCTGTTACTGTTTAATTGTATTATTCTCAACATAATGGATTTTGAGGGGTCAATTTGGACCAATTTGTCAACAAACCTTACAGAAAAAACAAAAATTCAATTATTCAAGACAGCATTCTAAAGTAAAACCGCCGTTCAAAAAATTCACCTCTTTTTAATCCAGTAGACATGTGCAAATTACTAATTCAAACGGAAGACGCAATAGAAAAATAAACAACTGAATCCTACACATCTGGATTAAATTTTCATGAAGATACATATTTCATTTCTTCCTTAAGAGTCGAGCTACAAAAAAAAAGAAAAAGGAGGAGGTAAATTTCATTGTTGTATAACAGCAATGAAGACAGTAACCAAGAAACAAACCTCACACCAAATTTGTTCGTCGTTATAGAAGAGAACTGTGCAGCTGGTAGAGAGAGACCTCAGTATGACTGGTGATGATGGTGGATAAGTTTTAGAGAGAGAGAGAGGACTGATAGGGGTTACGAGGGTTTGAGCATAGGAAACATCGAATCAAATATTCAATTACCCTCAGCCGCTTTTAGAAATTAGTGGCTCGTAATATATATAAAAGATTAGGACTGAAAATCAATTAAAGAAGTAGGGATTTAATTTGTAAAGAAATAAGTTATAGGGACCGAAATATATGAGAACAAAATAGGTGGACTATAGTGCAATTTATAAATAATATTGCTACAATGCTCATGGCCTCTTGGGAAGCACCTCGTAAGTAGCGCCGTTCTCCCACTGTCACGTTGTTAAAAAATAAATCTCACATCGAATAAAGATGAAAATTTAAATTAAGGGCTTAAGTTAATTCTCTCGATAATGTTGATCTTTTACGATGAAGTATCAAAGTCTTAACGTGTTCATTAAGTTTTAACGACTAATTTAATTCGATTAAGATAAAAAAAATGAGCAGATGAATTTCAAGATTAATCTATTCAAACGAACAACTATTTTTCGACAGCATATTAAGAGATATATATGATATCGAACAAAGATAAAAATATAGATCAATCCTTTTAAAAATTTTGATATTTTGAGATGGAATTTCAAGTTTTAACACAGGACATAAAAGGCGCTGAATTTACCGAATCACGTGTATGATGTATCCCAAGATGCTACCGACGAACCAAACTACCTGCTCATTAAGAAGAAAATGTTGAACTAAATTCCCAGAGAAAACATGGAACATTTCAGATCAAAATCATGCAATGGTGGAAGAATGCAAATGAAGAGTTACAGACCCAACACAAACATGCAAGGTTCCAGGTGCTACAGATTGCTTCAAATGCATTTTCACCATCAGGTCCAAACAAAACCTGGATGAATAATAATTCTGCTGCGAGAGATCAATGGGAGTTCAAGAAAGGGAAGTCGACAAAACGGGTCGCTTTCCAAGAACTGGAGTTTCAGACTTCAGTGACCCAGAGTTGTAGGGAAGAAGAGGGTGGCTAGCTACAAGGTTTTTACTGTTGAAGGGAAAGTGAAGGGATCCATTAAAAAGAGTTTTAGGTGGACTAAGGAGAGGTATGCACAAGTAGTCTGTGTAATATTGAATATGCTGTAATTACAGCTTTTTTCTTCTTGTATTTAGTTCTGTCAATCTCTTTGGTTAGTTACAAGTTGCCCACTTTATTGTAATCTTGCATATAGTTGTCAAGTATTGTTGATTTGTTCCATAAAAAATGGGTCCTTAATGTTGTTACCCAACATGCCATCAAGAAACTAGTAAGAAGCAAATGGGAATCAGTGTAAATTGTCGGACGAAGTTCCTTTCACGTAAAAGCTGAAAGTTGAAAAATAACTTCCAAAAAATTAATGAGTATCATCAACCATGATACAGAGCCAAGGATTTCACAACCATACAAACAGTTCTCAACCACAACCAAACAAACAAAAGCAGTGGCAAAAGCCCATCCAGTGACTCCAATACTTAAAACTGCATAGAATTTTGTTGAAAGCTAGCATTACAATGGCAAATTTACAGTTCCAACACAAGGAAGAAACAAGATACCAGAGGTAGGGATAGAAGGAAAAGTGGAATTAAAGACCCACGCCACCACGGCTCAGTGCATGTTCGATTTCACAATCTGCTTGTCTATTTATTGGCTACAGATCTTCGTGAGCACAAATACCAACCGGTCCAACCCACAGTTTCCTTGATTTCAAATCTTCCCCCAAAAGCATCTTCAACAGTCCTAGTCCTTCCTCACAGATCTATCACACAATCTGATGATATACAAGAATGTGACAACGCAAGCATTCAATAATGTACCCTCTCTTCATCATCGAAATTCAGTTTCTCAATACCCCTCATTGTGGACTCATAATTCTTCATGTTAGAATTATTCCTGCCAGAGGAAGCATGCTTGGGGTCCGAGGATACACCGAGCGGTGAGCTTCCTCGCCCACTTGAGATTTTGTGCAGAGTCCCTGGACTAGCCTCAGGGGTGCGAGAATGGGTAGGATCAGAGTCATTTCCCATCGTGAAAGTGTTGTGACTTCCAGAAACTGCACCTCGCCTCAATGATCCACTAGACCTTCCCAAAAACGTGGAGCTTGACATCTGCAAAATTCAATTATTCAAATAGTAATGTCATATAAATCACCTTTTGAATTATTCCATTATTTATCCGTGGGATTAGTCGAGGTGCGCGCAAGCTGGCCCGGACATCCACGGTTATCAAAAAAAAAAAAAAAATTTAACAATCACTTGTTTCTTTTGGCTGTGGTTGCTTTCTAACTTGGTTCAAACATAATAAAAAAAAAAAAATTATTCCATTATCATCTATATTTATCCAAAGATCTTTTCCTGAAATATGATATAGAACTATTACAAATGGAACAGTAAGCATAGCCTTTACAGATGCTGATTCCTAACAAGACTATAAAACTCAAATTGGCTTTTTAATTTTAGAAGGTAATTCGTTTATCTCATGTTAAATGACATTCTCCTCAGTGAGGTAAACATAATCAAATTGTTACTCATTTTGTGTTTCAATTGCAACATTATGGTTGTTCTGTTCTGTTCTAAAATCTCTTGTGCAAGGCCATTGGGTCTAGCAAGTTCTACAAATTTCTGATTGAGTGGAAGAACAACACAAGCTCTTCATGTTCATCAGGAGAAAGCATCAGTAACAGGAGCCAGTCTTTTGGGTTAGAATAAGGTCAAATACTTTATCATGTATTTGACTTTCTTACAGGTGGACAGCCCTGATATTTCATCCAAACTGACCGTTGACCACAAAGATGTATGTAACTATAAGATGAGAAAAGAAAAATGCACATTGCATTGTGAGAGAGGGAGGGGGGGGGGGGGGGGGGGGGGGGGGGGGGGGGGGGGGGGCGGGGGTGGAGATTCTATATGAAAAAGGGGCGGTCAAGAAATCTTAGGATTTTGATATGGAACTCCCTGAATAAGGAAATGGAAACAATTCTGAACCTAATAACTATATGATAATGCATCCTCTATCTTGGTGAACACATTATACCAATTGTATTGATCGGCCTCCAGAGGACACTTGATCTGACCAACTCCACCATAAAGCTTTAATCTATAATTAAAGATGAATACTGACCACAGCGTCCTTGCTAGTTGAATTAATTGTTTCACTAGACTTTGCTAGGCTTTTTTCTTGTTCAGTGCATCGACGCCAGATTGCACCTGTTCTGTTCGGCAGAGTGCTCCTGTTTTGTTTGTGATGAGACTTACGCCTCAAAACGTTTTGAGGCTTACGCCTCGTCTCATGACAAAAAAAGCCTCAGTACCCATTTACGTTTTTTCAAACTATGCTCTATACAACCAATTTATCTTACCAAACACGTCATCAAGAAACTAGTAAAATCCAACAGAAAAACATTTCAAATTAGCAGTGCAAATTGTTGGTCGAAGTTAATTTTGCGTAAAAGCTGAAAAAGACGTTGAACATAACTTCCGAGAAATTAAGGAGTTATCACCTCAATGATACAGAGCCAAGGATTTCACACCCACACATGATTCTCAACCACAATCAAACAAACAAAAGCAGTGGCAAAAGCCCATCCAGCTACTCGAATACTTAAAAACCAACAGCATAGATTTTGTTGAAAGCTAGCGTTACAATGGCAAATTTACAGTTCTAGAAAATACCCAGCATCAGCAAGAAACAAGGTCCGAGAGGTAGGAATAGAAGGGCACATGGAATTAAAGACCCACGCCACCAAGGATCAGTGCATGTTCAGTTTCATAATCTGCTTTGTCTATTTATCGGCTAAAGATCTTCGTGAGCACAAATACCAACCCCCATTTCCTTGATTTTCCAAATCAAATCTTCCCCCGAAAGCATCTTCAACATTCCTAATCCTAACTCGCATCTATCACACAACCTGACAATAAACAAGAACGTGACAATGCGTGC